CCTTATAACCCCCCCCCCCCCCCCCCCCCCCCCCGCTTCCTCCATGTCCTCGGCCTTCCTCCTGGTTGTGTGAGGACCTTGTCCACCCTGGACGTGATGGCGGAATGGAATGTACCCATTAAATGTCTCCCCAGGGACCGAAGGATGCAGTCTAATCCGTGGACTCCCTCAACTTTAGTTAATTTGATCACTTTTGAATTAGCTACGCCATTTTGCAGGGGTTCTAGAGGTGGGGTGCATAAGAGGGGCATAATTCATACAGAGGGGCCAACATTATCATTAGCCAATGGTTTTTGTTTTGAATCAGTGAGTGACAGGGAATGGGCACTCTGGGAACCAATCAGCTTTCAGCTGGGGCCAGTGTACCTGTGGCTCCACCCATTTGCACGCCTCTGCCATTATGCTATAGATTTCGTTTGTACCTTCTGACCTGTCTTCTGTGACATCACTGTACCCGCTACAGGATTTGAACCTATGTAATCACGGGCACAGAGTTGGGTTGAAGGACATTGAGGCTGGATAGGGGAGTGGACCATGCATGTGCATTTTGTAATATCTATTCTACCCTTTGCCTTAGTCCAGAGTTTTACCATAATTCCAATGATCCATCACTGTCTCCTCCAAAGCCACTTATTGTCGTTCTGTTAATCCCTTCCGGCTTCCTTGTCTCCTACCTGCTGGTATCTGCTCCCGGTCCTGCCAGGCACCCCTTAATTGATGTAGTGCCCTCATCAGCAGCGTTGCCTCCCAGCATTGCACAGGAGTCGCGGCGGGATCTCGAAAGGCCAGTGCTGGGAAGCAGCCTCTGCCGTGCGCCCCGCCGAGAGTGGGCTCCACGTCTTTAGCCCGATCGAGCCAGAAAAGAAGGAGCGGGAGATGAAACTGTAAAAAACAGACCCTCCAAGGTAACTCCCAGGAGCTTTCAGGCAGCCAGATCCAATGCACGGCTCCGTCCAGGCGTGACGGCTGCCGATTTCTTACCATCGGTGAAACCAACCGTGGAAGACGAGCAGAGGAATCCGCCCTTAATACTGACAGTTACGTATCGCGGAATATAAACTGTTACATCAGCTGTGCTGTGGGTCTGTTTCCTCTGCTGTTCTTAAGTCTCTTCTGCTGAGAGTGTTAAAGATTTCGGCAAGTTAAAAATAATATGGAGAGGCTGAACAAAGGTTAATGTGTGTCTGCAGTTTAATGGGTCATTTTTTAGGGCTTAACTGCTCTACTCATAATGCTGTTGCTTTGAGTATTAATAGTGAGACAGAGGGCTGCAGAGCTGCGATGTTTGTGAGTTAGAATTCAAGGAGTGCTTCCTCCCTGTTAATAGTAATCAAATACATTGTTTGATTGGTTTATGTTTGCACAGGCTCTGGGTGGGCGAAGCTTGTGATTGGCTGGGCTAACCTCCCCTGCTCCGTGGAGCTGAGCATGCGTGTGAAATTGTCAGAGTATGTGACCCCCCCCCCCCCTAATACGCGATTGACTCCCCTCCCCCTTCAGACTGAACAAATTGTGGGGGTTTGAGGGGGTAGATAAGGATCAAAATTAGTTCAGATTTAAGGTTTTCAGAAATGCTTGCAGGAGCAAAATGGGCTGCACTGTGAAGCCGGCCCCGGGATTCAAACCGGCGACCTTTCCGATCATCGATGCAGAATCTTAACTTGCTGAGCAGCACATCACCGCCTTATAGGAATTTTGCCTTTAAGAGTATAGCATAGCATAGCACAGCATAACATAGCATGTCATAGTATAGTAGAGTATACTATAGTCGAGTAGATGGAGAAAAGGCCTCCTGTAACCTCACATTAATGTGACAGAAATGAACATTCAGATCGCAGCTCCTCCAGCAGGTGATTGGGTTTCCCCCGCTGATTGGTTTTCTTCTCTGCACCGTCACTCCCCCCC